ACAGAGCGTAGGAATGGCCTGCTCTACTATTTAAAAACGGAATTGCAGTTTTATTGCTTATAGATTATCAGAACATTTCAAAGTGGACGCAGCCACATTGGATATTAACCTATGGATTAACTACATCATCGTTGTTATCATTGTAATGCAATTGAAGACCAGTTTTGACCAGACAAAACCAAGGTAAGCCATGTTAGCGTTGTGGGCTACGTAGCGCCACATGTTTTGATGTACGTTTTTGTTGATAACGTCGCGAGTTTGTATCTTTCAGTGTGTAGGTGGGCACCGTTAGATTCTGTATCTTTACGATCATAAACGATGTGTTGGATGTGCAGCTAGGATAAGTAATAAGGGAGCTAGGAGTGATTTTCGGTGCAGTAATAGGTTTGCATTTTTCGCTCTGGGCTAATTCAGAGGCTCACTGTTAGCATTGTGTGAGAAAAAAAATGAAAAAGATCAGTTAAATGAGTTTTTTCCCGTTATATGGATATAAAATATTCATAGTTTATTAAATATTAAGGTTCCTTAGACGTTGTTTCCTGCAAATGACGCGATTTCGGCCCGGAACCGGGTCCATGGGGCTTAAGAGGTTTTAAGAAGAGGAAATCAAATCAAATAATACCTGACTTATTCTTTAAATTACTTTGTGTCATCATTAATAAATGATAACCCTTGTGATGATGCATTCCCTTTGCCTCTCCTTAAGCATGCTGACAGTAAATATTTATTTATATTGTCGGGTTGTGGTTTCCTCTTGGTGGATGTTTTTACTTAATATTTGTTATCTCAATTGCAGATATAAAGCCAATAAAGAAGGTAGACAGGAGCTGAATAACATTTAGCCTCATGTTTGGAAAACATTAAATCGTCTTCCTGGTTAGGGTTACTTAGCAAATCACTGCTTTGACTTGAAATTGATAGACACAGTGTAATTACCGAGACAATTGAAGATAGTTGAAACCGTCCAAGTCGTAAAAGACTGCAATGAACTCAGGCTGGCAGGCAACAAGACAGATAATTATCTTGCAAACGCATTCATTTTCTCCACAGCTTGTCCTTGTTTGGCTGAGACAGAGGCGATGATACAACTATGGAGGTCTCTGAGGAGCTCTGATTTAAAAGAATAAAGCTTCTGTAGACATACTAGTGTCGGGTTAGATGAATGTGAATCTTTTTGTCTACCAACCAAAAATTGAAGTTTCCCTGAATCTGCATTATCTCAGGTCAGTGTTTGTGGGTGGACATTTGAGGACAAACCGTTCATAAAGCATAATTACAGGGCAGCGAGGCTGATCATCAGTCTGAGGCTGCCGTCTTTATTTCCTGTTGGTTTTGTTGGTGAGCAGTGGGAGTATACTTAATCTCTGGCAGTCCTCAGCGGGGGCGCTGGTGTCTGTGTTGCTGTGGTCTGTGGTGTGTGATTGTCTGGTTTACAGTGCGTTCACACTGTGCCAGTCTGTGGGTAATGACTGTGGTCATACGCCTCCGTCCTTTCCACTGTTTAGAGCTTGCGGTAGACAAATAGCTTATTTCAAAGAGGAATCATTTTGATTTCCCCAAAAAGATATTTGGATCATCTTTAATTTATGCATACAAGTTATATAGAAGCTCTGCGTCCGGGTTTGAAAATAAATCATAGTTGTTATTATTCTTTTTTGTAAAGAGTCAAATGTCTTCCAAATTATGGAAAGTTTCACAAAGTTATTCAGGTTGTAGGTTTTGGATTTATTGTCAATGGTTGAGGTTTGGTTGCTTTTTTCGTGGTTGTAATTAATCTCCATGGAGTGTGTGTGTGTGTGTGTGTGTGTGTGTGTGTGTGTGTGTGTGTGTGTGTGTGTGTGTGTGTGTGTGTGTGTGTGTGTGTGTGTGTGTGTGTGTGTGTGTGTGTGTGTGTGTGTGTGTGTGTGCTACTGACCTGACCACTTTGGTCCCGCCCCGGATGACTTGCATGTCCACGCTACAGTTTCCATTTGAATAAGAGACGAGGTTCACCTCTGAAAACTCGGCCTACAAGAATGGAAAGAGAACACGAGACACAGACATTTTATAAAGAATAAGCAGAATATCTAATAATTCTACCCTAAATAGTTAAGGTTGTTGTAGAAGACATTATATTTTAACTTGTTTCTATAATAACAGTTGTTTTTATACTGGGTATATCTTTTTTTTATCATTTTCATACATGGGTAAACTGGTAAATAAATTATTTTCTCTTTTAAAAATGTATTTTGCAGAAGCAGTGATAGAAAACGATACGAAACACTTTAGAATTTTAATGAGCAGTTATAAAACTCATTGTATTTTTGACATTGTGACAAACATCTATTTTATTTTATACATAAACTATATTGTTATTCGAGAGTAGAATAATGCATGTGTGGTTGCAAATTGAAGATTTGTCTGTGACTCACAGCTGCCGACTCCGGTCTCCTCTTGTGTCTATTTCTGTTTCTGTGTGAAGGCTTGAGGTCGTAATTTCATTGTCAACATCTATTAGCTGTGAAGCTGCTCGGCCTTCAACCCCAGAAAATATTCATTTCGGTTTTATGCACTAACCAAATAATGCAAAAAGGAAATTGGTTTCCTGGTTAGGATGGTTCAACCAATATGAAACCATAAATGGCACACACTTTAAAAGATAAGGAAGAACTGATGGCTTTACAAGTGTTATATATATATTTTTATCATTGTGTAATGCACAGCACAAATTACATTTTTGCTGAGGATGACTAGTGCAAAAAACAAAAACACTCAGCAGTGTTTATGGGGCAGACATGGTTTGAAACCTGTAACACAGATTCCTGGCAGATAATCTATTTGATGTGTACAATGCTAATATGCTAACAGTTACAATGCATGTTGATGTTTAGCAGGTAGGCTGTATGCTTTACAGGTACTTTTAGCATGCTAACGTTTGCTAATTTATGCTGTACAATGTAGTCTACAGCTTAGACTGTTTGTAACACCATCATTTTATTCGTAACCAGGGGGAACGCTGTAGATTTAACTGAACCTTTCCCTAAGGACACCTAGAATATCTGTAGATTTTCTTATACAAATTATTTCAGTATGCCTATCTCCAGATATTTTAATAATAACCAAAGATGTTAATCTCTAACTGGAGTTAACGGAAACTTCAGGGGTTCACTCATTCACTCAAGTCATTAAGATTTCTCGTCTATAGGCACATACAAAGAATATCTGTACAAAAGTGCATGGGTATCAATCTAATAGTTGTTTAAGTTTTGACCGAATGGTGCAGTCCAGGAGAACTGCTGCCATCACAGGCCACACCTCCTCCTTTCTCTGCAACCACAACATAGCAATGTCACATGTATTCACTCTTTTTTCTGGAGTAACACCTTCCAGTATATATTTCTTAGTTCTTTGGAACTTTAACTTGCTGTACAAAGTAGTCAGTCGGTGCAAACGTATACATTTTCATATTAGAGGTGAATGTGGTGTCAGTTCACTTTCCTCTCTGTTCTGATCCCCCCTCAACCTTCAATAAATGATTCTGTGTCATCATAGGTCTATAGAAATCTATACGATACCTGCTCCACTTTGATGTCGTAGTCACCAAGGACCTTCTTTCCCCGAAACACTTTGGCCCTGGAAGAGAAGAGACACAGTTTGTCATTGTAAACTCTATGCTACCCTCTACTGGATGTCACACACCCTTTGGAACAAACTAAAGAAAGAAAATGGATGCCTGCTTGTCATTTTTAAAAGGCCAAACTTTCTAATGAGCAGCTTAAAAAAGAGATCAGTTCAGCATATCAATAGCCAATCTAAAATGGCAATTACTATCAATAGCTTGTGGTTGCACTTGCATTACATTCTAATTAGAGTTCTGCTGCAATACTAAATGCCGTCTTGCCATTTGAATGATGAATGCATCCAATAACAGAGCGGCCTGATGTCTTAAAATCTTGGCTGCCATTGTTTCTAAGAGTGATTTAGAAATTAAGTACAAGTAAACACACAGACAGGCAGACAGATTGAGAGCAGACAGACAAAGACGGACCAACAGTGAGAATGACTCAAGCAGAGAGGCACAGGCTGCCAGGCAACACACAACATTCTCAGGAAGACTCATTATACACAACATTATAAATGGCTTGCAGATGGTTTGCACAGCATCCATTACAACCCCATACACTGAAGCTAGATAAAGCAAAAACATGATGTAGAAGGATGGGATACATGCTTGAAGTCCTAGCTGATAATTAAAACTACTTTTACAGTGTTTAACGTAAAAAATATCTTCTTTTTGCTTCACGCTACTGACCCTTCACCAACTACAATGTGGTACAGCGAGTAAAACGTCAACTCCATTAAATGAATGTATCCTCTCCAGTAGAGATGTTCCGATCCGATCACGTGATCAGAGCCGATCACGTGATTTTCAAAAGATCGGAATCGGGAGAAAAAAATCGGGGATCGGGATTTTTTATTTATTTTTTTTAGTTTTTGATAAATACTTTTTTTAAATTTTTATTCAAAGTTACAAAACAAAAATGACCATGTTCAAGTCTTAAAGTCATCCTGAGGCCTTAGTTTTGGTTTCAAATTACACAACATCATGTATGTGTTGCTTCTTTGGGGCTTGTTTTCATAGACCTGGTTGCTTATTTCTCTCAAATCTGGCAACAGGGTGGGCAGGGCGCAGTGTCTAATTGTAGCAGTAAGCTAACGAGTACTGACAAGCTTGATTTTGTTTTGATCCAATGCTGCACAACTGAACTGATCCAATGCTGCTGTGAAAAAAAGAAGCTATATCCATGTTGGATAGAATATCCAATTTAAATAAAAAAAATAACCTTAAGGGACAACTTGAATGCTTTTTTTCTTTTTTTTCTCTTAATGCATTGCATAAAGATCGGATCGGGAAAAATCGGTATCGGCAAATTGTCAAAATCAAATGATTGGAATCGGATCGGGAGCAAAAAAAGGTGATCGGGACATCCCTACTCTCCAGGCATGTCAGTTGATCCACTATAATAGGAAGTTAAATCTAATTGTACATGCCACCATGGATCCTCTCCTTGTCCTCAATTACAAATGTATGTGACATTCCTTCCATATCACCTCGCAAAGCCTTGTGTGGTACAGCACGAAGGCATCTGGCTTATTAGTCTGGTTCATTAGGAGCAGACCATCTGTGAGAGAGACACTCTGAGGGTATGACTCCGTAACTTCCACCAATCAATAGTCGCCAGCAAAATTGGTGACCTTGTAATTACGGCAATATATATTTTTCAGTACCGCTTTCATTCTGTTAGTTAGCGTGTGGTGTTTTTACTCATAATTGGCAAATGCTTGAAAACACTGCAATGCTGCCATGATGATGACATTATCATTAAAACAAAAACAAGAAAAACACATCTCTGTGATTAAAGAAACGTTTTCGCTCCCTGCTTTTTTTATTTTAAAATCCCATATCAATTTTCATAGGATTGTATTTAAAAATCAGCTATCTCTAATCCCATAGCAACTGAATGTGTCTAAAGAGGCTCCACAGTCAGCGTGTGTTGAGTATCTGCAGTGCACAATGCCAAACAATACAAAGACACAAGATGTCCGACAGCACACTAATGGACAATTATCGTCAGGCTGCTGATGGAGCTTCCGTTATTTAATTATTTCAAGCAGCATACTGCTAGCGAAACGCACCATGTGCAAAACGAGTCGGCAGACAGATGGGGCTGTACTCTACATGCTCGTCACAGGAACAATAAAAGACAACCTTATACTTCTTGATTTTGTGGGGAGACAGAAGCTTGTTTTATAGGACATCTGCACATCTCGTCGATGCTTTAAAGCCGCACTGCTTCATTTATTTGGCCATTTGAGGCGAGCAACACAGGCTGTTGGTGACATTTTATTACCATATAAAGTTGTTATAGCTAAAGCATGAGCAAACTGTAAGCTATTAAATATCATTCAACACAAATACTTATTATTGGAGCCTTTACTGCAGTTTCAAGTACAGTGCATTGACCTGCAGAGCACAACCTTTAGCATATTCTATTTTATTTTCTTGCACTATTTTATCTGTTTTATTGTGTTGCATTGTTGGAGAAGCCTGGGACCTAAGATTATCATTGTCATAACTACACTTTAGATATGCACAAATGACAATAAAAGCCTTGAATCTTGAATAATGTGCTCTTATCCTTATCAGCGCTTCAACAAGGAATCTCGTTTGATGTATATAGGATCCATTACAGACTGAATAAGATAAATGTTTACACCAAAGGTTTCACACTTCTGTGAATCTATACAGTACATCTTTAGAAACAAGCTCTACGACAAAATACCCTCAGGACAAACCTTCACCCCCCCACAGCGGTAAGAAAGTGAGAAGGAAAGTTTTCTCTCCATTCCATCACTCATCAACTTTGTTTCTGGTGTGAGATAATCATTTCAGTTTCGTGAGGCAGCTAAAACTGCCATAGATTTCAATTTAGCCACAGGATCGCCCACTTTATGAAGTGTTAAGCAATACATCATCTCTGACAGGTCAGTTTCCTGTATTCAATTTTTATCACCCACTGGTGTCTTGTAATAAGCCCTGAAAACAAAAGTCAGCACTGTTTCCTTCACTCAGGAACATTTAGTGTATGATCTGATGAGGAAGCAACTCTTAAACACTTGACTATAATTTGATTTCTAAACTTTCAATATTGCAAAAAAAGGAAAATAAGTGAAAAACTAATATAATAAGAAGAGCTAATACATCCTCAGAGACACCCACATGTTTTGTTAAAGCATACCTGCGGTGTATGTGATACATGATATCTTATTACTGAGAAATAAAAGAGTAGACATCATTGAATTAATAACTTCAGTATTATTCCCCTAAGATGAAATGATGGTATTCCACTCACACAAACACATTGAAATTGAAAAGATATACAGTAGACACATGTATGAATAGGTGCTTTAAATTGATTTTTGAGATAGACTAAATCATTTTATTTCATATTTTTGATGAAATTTCTTTGGCATAAAGTGGATAGAATTTAGGTTTCTATAGAAACTGCTGCTGCAGATTTGTTTACTCAGGCAAGGGTTGTAAAGAGATTTAGATCGTAGACTCGCCATTACCCAAATGCAGCTGAAAAGACTAAGTGATGAGTTCAAGCTCTACGGAGAAGCCCAGATAAAAGTGGATTTAAATCTATTCAAATCAGCGGCTCCAGCAGGCACAGAACAACATCTGAGTGATGGAGATGGGGCTTTTGAGGAGGAGAAATCCTGACTTCTTGGATATAAGTATATGAATGAAAGAATGATAGGCTCAATTCAAATACTAATTCCTACCAAAAAGGACAATGTAGCGTATAGTTCTGGCTAAAGAGAACCTCAAATAACATGATATCTTAACATGCTGGTGTGGATATACTTTATAAAAATGTGGGCACCATGATTCCATTTCTACTCTAAACACCTTCTTTAAAAAAAAAAGAAGCTGCATCATGACATTACATTTGATCCATGTTAAGTCCAATACATTTGATGGACAAGTATTTAGTAATAACTGTGACACGTGTTTAGGGAGCTAACGAGGCTGAAAACAACACGACCAAAGGCTCTATGATGGGCTAAATGCGACAGATTAGATCCGTCTGCTCAGGGTCATTTGCTTCGATCCCATTTTCCTTATTGATCTGTGGAGTCCAAGAGTCTGAGACCACAACATAGGCCAGTAGAAATTAAGCCTTTAAAATCAATGTACAGCCATGACAGGATAAAGTGACAGAGAAAAAAAAGATAACAAACAAAGTGGCATGTATTGCAAATCATGAAAAGAAAAGCATTAAATAGGTAGCTCAAACATAATATGCAATAGCTACAGTGTGGACGTGTGTGTTGTATTTACAGCTATATCCTAATTATAATTTCTGCATTTCATTTGGCTCCCCTATTCTCTTGGTTTTCTACACGAAGATGCTGGATCGCTGAAAGCACCATCAAATGTTCAATATTAACGCGAGGATATATCTTTGATAGGCATGTTTTACTTGGACTGAAGTCCTGTTTGACATTAGAATTCACAGACTCCATTATCAAGGCATATTGACTGAGTCTGCTGCACTTGATTTGCATGATACATCACGTTATGACAGGTGTCCTTCCTCATCACTCTCTCCCACACTTCTTAGCTATTTTTAATCTTGTTTCCTTTTTTTAAACTAATATTATAGCTGTAGATGATCCTCTACTTCCCTTTTCATCGGATATTTTCAAAGTCTGAACTGTCTTTTCCCAAATCCCACACATTTAGGAGATGTTCTTTTGATGGGGATACCTGCCTCTTCTCAACATGTATCTTTTTTTGTAATCCCCCCTCGGCAGATATCATGATCAATTCAACAATTCAACACCATGTGACATTAATGGATTGTATGCATACAAATGAACCATGCCTGAAAAAGAGACTGCATTTTGATGGATTTAGTGAGATACAAATGATGGAGCGAGGCCAGCTCTGCAGCTGTGGTGTTTAAAAAGGAGAGCACTCATCAGTCTCTGTTAACAGCGCATTGACATAATTGTCTATCAATGGAAAGATCGATGGCACGATTAAAGAAGCCAAGAGCTAA